TACACACTGAATCAAGTCAATAAACAACAGAAACTGACAGGATTAGGGCAGGGAAACCCATCAATCACCCATCTAGGGATGGGAGTAACCTCTTCCCTTCAGGAAGAAGGACAAGATTACAAACATTTTCATTATAAAGAGTACTAAGTAACATTTCTGTGATCAGCTGATACTCCCTGGAGTTTCCCAAGACCTTTTATAGCTTCTGCAGTGTTGGCTACTTTCTTCCTGGGGGAAAGATACAGGAGGGGACAATGATGCTGCTTGATCATATAGTCCATGAATTTAATGCATGTGTGGTCCAGCCAGCTGTATTGCTTCTGCTGTGAAGCACCCAATTTAGAACATAGAGAACATAGAATAATAGCGTTGGAAGGGTTAATGGCTTTTGGTAGCACACCCAGGCTTTCAATTAACCTGAGTAGCTGCTCTTAGTTTCCCTCTCAGCTGCTGTGTTTGCTTTGGGGTTGACTTTTTTTTAAAGGGGAATGGCTGTTTTAAGTTTTCTGCATTGTTTTAGTGGTTCCTGGCACTGTTCTTTTAAGGTGTACTTCCCTCACTCTTTTTTAAAACCTCTAGTGATGGAGCACCCACAACTTCTGAAGGCAAGCTATTCCATTGGTTGATTGGCCTCACCCTTAGGAAATTTCTTCTTAGTCCTAGGTTGCTTGTCTCTTTGGTTAGTTTCTATCCATTGTTTCTTGTTGTGCCTTTTGGTGCTTTGGAAAATAGCCCCTCAAATTTCCCGACAGAACAATTAATCAGTGGAACAACTTGCCTCCAGAAGTTGTAAATGCTCCAACACTAGAAGTTTTTAAGAAGAGATTGGATAATCATTTGTCTGAAGTGGTATAGGGTTTCCTTTCTAAGCAGGGGTTGGACTAGAAGACATCCAAGGTCCTTTCCAACTCTGTTATTCTATTCTATTCTAAATATTGGAACAGTGCTATTTTATTGTGACTTGGACTGAGGAGAAATTTCCTAAGGGTGAGACCAATCAAGTTGCCACACCCACCCAGTCAGATGATCAATTTCCCACAGAAAACACCGGGAGCCACAAAACCTGGGCAGATGTGGCCTTGGGGGGGGGGAGTCATGTGACTGGGTGGGAGTGACATTGAGTTGGCCACACCCATCCACCCAGTCACATGACCACCAAGCCATGCCCACAGAACCGGTAGGAAAACATTTTGAATTTCACCCCTGCTTTGACCATTCTGTTCTCAAGATGATGCAATTGAAAATTGATGGCAAATCACTAAATAATTCTGGAATTGTTATTTTTTTGAGTTGCAAAAAACAATGAAGAAGAAAAATAGGTGCATTAGAAGTCTTGAGAGGTTTAATGCATCTATTTTACTGGGGAAGACCCCAAACCCCAATCTCCAAGCATAAAATCTTTAAAACATATGAAGAAAACAGTTCCAAAAATCCTGGCTCTACCCTTTCTTTTGCTTCAATGCATCATCATTAATTTGCAAGACCCCTGCGAAGCTAGGAAAATAAATTTTATATTGTTTCTGTTTGGTTAGTGTGGAAAATGTATGGACTACCCTTTATGGAGTGTTACACTGGTGCTGGAGAGACCCAGGATCAACCCTACATCCTGCCCCAAAGGATGATGATAGTTATGTGCTAATTAATTTCTCTCACCTGAAATACCTCAAGCTTGTTCTGAGAATGAATTGAGAAGAAGAGAATCTCGTACACTACAATTTTCTTAGCTCTTTGGAGTAAAGATCTTAACAAACCTTTAAGTTAAAACTAGCTTATTTTGTACTCTACTTCTTATTTCCTTACAATATAAGATTTCACAAAAAGCTAAACCACTTCCTACAATAACTCAGATGGCATAACTTTAACAGCATTGCCAGAGAAGTATTAAAACGGAAAAGAAGAAACAGATAAATGGATGAAGCTCTAAAAACCGATATTTGAGGTTATTGTTTTTTTTTTCTAAAATGCTAAAATTATTAGTAAGAAGGTATAACGCAAGCTAATATTATTTTAGAGGATGTATTTCACACTGAGATACTTTGCCTAGAAAAAAAAGGGAAAATTACAGTTTGAGAAAATGTCACTGAGAAGCCCAAGGAATAACTGAAATGGCATGGTTTATTTTTTACCATATTTTACAATAAAAGCCCTGCCCAAACAGATGAAACACCAGGATGCTGAATGAATGGAAACAGACGGTCCCATGATGCTGTGCCAACCTCTAGGCATTTGACAGTCCTTTGTAAAAGTGTCTTTGAAAGAAACTCAATCAAAGAGGAATGTGATTGAGATAAATGAGAGAGGAAACATGCATAGGTTTGTCTGTTTTGAAAAATAAATAAATCAGGGAATGCTTTTTTTCTCTCCCTTTTTCATAATAGTCAGGTTCATCCAAGAGACAGATGAAAGGAAATGCCTAGAGAAGAATTAAACAAATATATCTAGATAGCTGCCAGCTTGAAGAGGGATGAGACCAATTGATGAAGAATAAGACTGTCAATGGTTACCAGCATAAATACACTCTGCTGCCTCTGGGGACCGAGATGCCATGCCTCAGAGTATTAGTTGCTGGCAGGGCTTCATCTTCATGAAAAAGCTCTTCCCTAATCCCCCCCGCTTGGAGCTTCCCAGTAGCATCTGGTTAGCCATTCTAGGGCTGAATGCTGTACCAGGCAGGACTTTGGACTTGGATTTAGCAAGCTGCTCCTTAATTTAGATGCTCATGCATAACATTCTCTCTCTGTGTGTCTAACATTGCACACTGTTTGTAAATTGATCATATGCAATATGTGTATCTGGCAGCTCTGTCCACCAAATGTAGGATACATGAAAGGAATTCAAGACTGGACACAGCCTTCATCCCTCTGAATGCAGTATTCTTGGGTGATACTATGTCAGCCTGATGGATAATACAAGAAGAATTAAATATCTGTAAATATTCATTTCAAACTTTAGATGTGGTTCAGTTACTTGTCTTGAGGCATGAACTAGAGTGAAAATAGATATTAAATCAAATTAAAGCTTGGGAAATGGGAAATGGGATATCAGTGAACAAAATACATGCCCCCAATAGGAAGAAGCTCAAAGTTGCCCCAAATAGGTGTTATTTGTGCTATTTTGTTTTAATATGCACGAATGGCAAGCAGGCCTATTTAAATAACGCAGCAGAATTTCCACAGTCGTGTTAACATCATTTAGTATCATAGGGAAAGAAAGAAATGAACAGAGAACGAGAAAGAGAGGCTTGAAAGTCTTTCAATCTGATGATCAGAAGCAAAACTATTCTAGATGTTCAGCCCTCCATCAGAATATATAGGACTGCAGAAATCAATAAACATTGTGGAATGAAGTCAGGAGGCCCATATAACAAGCTATTTTTCAGAACTATGCAACCCCCAAACTGTGGAAAACACAGAGGTAAATGTAAAGAGTATATATACAGGTTCCAGTAAGATATATGCACGAAGTTACATGTTCAGAAAGAATAAATACAGTAGGCTGATTTAACATTAAAAGCACAGAAGAATTTAAGAATGGCAATATATCATACAAAATGTCTGATCAACTGCAGCAGTTTAGCCAAATGATTTAACCCAGGTCCTCCTGATAATCAACTAGACATTTGCAAAAACCTACAAATGCCCACAAACACATGATTGTTTCCAGCAGACAATATTGAGTAGTGTTCTGCCACAGGTAGCCATTTATAATGAATATCCATAATTGTACCACTCTCTAAAAAATTGTCTACTTCCCTAAAAAGCCATCCAGTTTGGCCCTCATTGGGTACATCTTGAAGAAGCAAATTTCATAACACCACAAGTCCCAAAGGTGCTTTTTCAAGAGGCAACTGGACTTTCTGGTTTTTCTTTGAAGATATTTCGCTTCTCATCCAAGAAGCTTCTTGGATGAGAAATGAAATGTTCTTCAAAGAAAAACCAAAAAGTCCAGTTGCCTCTTGAAAAAGAACATTTAGGACAACCATGACCTGGATGACTAAGGATCTCCGTGAACATAAGACCACAAGTTCTCAGATGTTCTAGAAGGTCTGATCCTATTATAATGTATACATACTTACATAATTATTCACATGAAAGTTTGCGTGCACACACACACATGCAGACACATATAGAGAGATGAGGACATATTCATGCATTCATGCAATAATATTGAGAGTTCAGCAAGAAGTTTGGCAGATTTGCACCATTTCTCGATCCTGCTTCAAATGTCAGGACAGATCTGTTCAGTGTTCAGAACAACTGAAAAAGAGTGCCAGTTCTCTTCTACCGTGTTTTACAATTGCAAATTTCAGAAACCCAAAACCAAAGCCATAAATTTGAAACCCAATTCCCTGAAAGAAGGAGGAAATAAAGCATGCCTGATCATTTGTTTATCTCTGAATTATCAGAACGCCCCACCTACATGAGGGAGTAAAGCAGTGACTCTCTTTTAAAAACAGGGGCAAAGAGTTACAGTAGTTGCTCAAGGCCATTGATGTAATGATGTTTAAATCTTTCATGATAAAAAAAAGTATTTTAGTTTTGTTATTGTGTTTTTTTAAAAAAAAAAGGCTGCAAACATCTGTTTTTACGTTACATCAAGATGCTTTGTTCTTTACAATAGAGAAAACAGCTTTTGCATATAATCTCTGCTCGTCTTTCCCAGTACTGCATGTATTGACAGCACTAACCCTCCAAAGACGTTTTTCAGATTTATCAGAAGATGCAGACAATCAAACTTTTGCATGCAAAAAGGGAGCTCTATACTAAGAGAACTCTATTTTTCTGCCCAATTCTTACAAGGATAGAAATCACCTCTGTCCCAATACACATGTAAGAATATCAAAAAGAAACTGCGTGAGACCATTCTTAGTTGATCTTCACCAGACGTTAATTAAATGTCACAAGTTTGTTTGTCCAAAACAAACAAAAAAGAAAGTGGGAGGAAATTGCCGATTAGTCAAAACAACATGGCAATAAAAAAAGCAAATTTTATTTAATAAATATAATGTAAATCGCTTTATTTGACCTTATGTTCACAAAATAATTTTATTATATGTATGAAAGCAGCTTACAGGCAATAGAATTATGAAAACATTCACAATACTTGAGTAACACAGACCTGATTTAGGAAGTATATTTTTGTAGACCTAATTTATCTCTTACATTTCTCCTTTTCAGACCACATGTCTCAACGAATCTTGCATTTTGTTCCAAAATCTGAAGGGGTTCTGCTATCATTCAATCATCATCACCATCTTGTTTGTATATTACTTTCATAGCTTTAACATTCATTGTTTTTATTTAATATGATTAAGGGACTGTGGGAGGAATTTTGGTTTCGAGAGAGCAAAAAGAAAACAAATCTTGGCCACTCTAGGAACTTGCAAGAAAGTGAGGAGCAGTTTTGTTGTTCTTTTCATTTTGTGAGAATCCAAAATCAGAATGAGAAACTATTTTCTATGTAAGAAGCAGAGAAATATTTGTGGTTAGATCATCTACTCTCCAATTGTGAAAGGGAGTAATTATTCTCCCCCCCACCCCTGCCCAAAAACAAATTTGAAAGAAGAGAAATCTAAGAGGATTCATTCATCTTCAAAATAGCAAATATGAGTGATTTTTTTTTATTTCTTAGCTCATCACATCTTTAAATTGGTGTTCATTTTCCAGTGGTATTCCTCTTAGATCAGTATGTTATCTACAGCTTCACATGCTGACATTCAAGCAAAGTCAACACAGACTGAAGCTTGAAAATAAAACTACAGCTATGAATTTTGTTTCTAGAAGGTCAAAGTCTGTATAATTTATCGTTCAAGTGATTTTGATCTTCTGTTTCAGAAAGAACCCGCAAAACACCTCTCTCTCTCTCTCTTTTTGTGCAGCAAAAGGTACTGGAGATTTATCCCCTTTGCTGCATTGGGAACAGCTACAAGTTCTAAAGTTAGCTAGACAAAGCTAACTCTGAATTTTGTAAATTCTCCCTTTTTTTCTTCTTCATAAAGTGCTGACTAGTAAACAGATCAAAAATGCAATGAATAACACCATACATACAGATATCCTATTTTTTCGACATATATTAAAATAAGATAAAGTCATGTTTGTTTAAACATATGAAAAAATACCCATTTAAATAATAAATAAAGAAAGCCAATATTGACACATAATCTTCCTACTATTAAAAATATCCCATTCTTATTATAAGGCTGTATTGATGTTCAAAATTGTTTTAAAAGGCATCCACCTAATCTGGCAAATTATCAAATTTTTCTTGCAATGTATAAACACCCACAAATGACTATGCAAGTCAAATGGGAATCTCATATAAATCTATTACATTTTATTCACACAGAGAAGTATAATTAGTTTCCCCAGGTCTGTTTCTGCAAACATGTATCCACTTAAAACTCTTTTTTTTCCTTTTTTTTTTTTTTTTTTTTTTGCAGCTACACCGTACCTACATATTTGATTCATTTCCATTCAAGATGAACAACATTGAACAATCTTTAAATACAATGTATGAAAGGTGGAATTCTTTTTAAAATTTTATGTTTTTGTCAAACAGCAGCTGATTAAGCTCTGGATTTTTATGTGATGGCTTTGATTCTCACAATAGCACACTGTTCTTACTAAAAACAGACAAAAAAAAGTTGAAAATCTTTCTCGATTGATCACTTTTTTTTTTTTAGATGAGTCAACTTTACCCCTCAGGTTTTATGCTGGCCATTTTGTGTGATTGGATTGATCTTTTCCAAAGACACATCAGCCTCGAAATCCAAAATACCTGATAGGGTTGGAGAAATTTTTTCCAGGGTTTTAGAGAATACCCCTTCCTCTTCTTTTTTCAACATGTCTTCTTCCGGGCAGAGAACCGAATGGGGAATCAAATAGACAAAATTGCACTCTTTGGGGCTGGACCCTCTTGGCTCAAGCTGACTCGAAAAACCCATGCCCCCATTATTGTTGATACTAACTGTCTCTATCGCATTAATGGAGAAAGGACAGAGTCTATAGCAGCCAAGAAGAGTGGAAAATGCCTTGCGGAAATCTGCATTGAAGGCATAAATGATCGGGTTCAAGGAAGAATTGGCCCATCCGAACCAAACAAAAACGTCGAAAGTGGCAGAACTTATACAAAATGGCTCTGCTCCCTGGGATGAGATACTGGGCTCACAAAAGGGCACCATGCAGTTCAGGATGAAGAAGGGTAGCCAACAGCATACAAACACTCCCATGATCACTGACAAAGTCTTTAAAACTTTAGTCTCTCTCTTGAAGGACATTTTGAAGGAGCTTTCTGGATGCTGGCCATCCATACTGTTCCTGTTGCCAGCAGTGGTTTGACAGTTCTTAGCATGCACGGCTGCTCGTTCCAAGGCTGATATACGCCGTATTTGCTTTTGAGCAATCCTATATATCCTCGTATAGGTGACTATCATGATGGCCACTGGGATGTAAAAACTAATAAGAGAGGAAGAGATGGCATACATCCTGTTCAAACTGGAATCACAGTTGTCCATAGCCACACCTTGAAAACTGGCATTTAAGTCTAAAAAGCTTGTGGTTTTAGCTTTGTGCCAGTTCAGTTGTACAGGGATGAAGGAAATCAACACAGACAAGGTCCACGCCACACTGATCATGACAAAAGCTGCCCTGGGGGTCATTTTCCTCTCATACCTAAACGGGCTGGAGATGGCCCAATATCTGTCCACGCTAATGACACACAAATTTAAGATGGAGGCCGTGGAACACATGATGTCGAATGCCACCCAGATGTTACAGAATGATCCAAAAGGCCAGAATCCAGCTATCTCGGCCACAGCTTTCCAGGGCATGACCAAGACGGCAACTAAAAGATCTGAGACCGCCAAAGAGATCACAAAGAAGTTGGTCACCTTGGACCTCAGGTGGCGAAACCTAATGACAGCTGCGCAGACCAGGGTGTTGCCTAGGAGAGTGGTGAGGATCAGCAAGGAGAGGAAGCATCCGGTGAGGATTCGGAAGTAGGAATCTCTTTTCACAAGCAACCCTTCCCCGTCCATAGTGGTGTTGTTCCAAATCATCTTTCCTTCTCAGGCAAAATCATGTCACAGGCCTGGTAGGGGCTACAGCTCCTCGTGTTCCCACAGAGCTTAGAATTTAATTGCTCAGAACCAGGCAGGCACCCTAAGATTCGTGCTCAAGTCTCCGGTCTTGGGAGGATCCCTTTGCTTTCTCTCTCTCTCTCTTTCTCTCTCAAAAAAAAACTTTAAAAAAACAAAAACACACAAATAATCCATCACAAGTATCTGAACTTGTTGATCACATCGGGGCTTACCCTCCCTCCCCACCTACCCCTCTCTCTGCCTTTTTTTAAAAAAAACAATCTTCTTTTAAACATTAGCCAAAAATAGAAAACTCTTAGCAGGAACAGGCCAGCGGGAGACAAATCCTCAGAGAATTCTGTACAGAGCGTAATCACTTTTCAGCTTGCACTTTTTCTCACTTAAATAGATTAATGATTCTTTTAAGTAGCCCTTCTGCTCTAATGAAGTGTAACTCTTCAAGTGTTCTGGTTGCTGATACAATTTCTCGTCCCTCTAATTGATGGACATCTTAAACCCACCTCAGCCTTCATATCTTTCTGCTCTGAAATTAAAACATCAGTTCTGCCTTTATACGTAGCCTCGGGACTCAGTTCTTTTCATTGTTCCAAACAGTTTAATAAAGATTCATCGTCCTAGAGGCAAAGAAAATAAATTTACATTTTAAAACATTCAAAAGGTTTATAGAAGGATCATAGTTTTGCATAAAGAAGAAATTCTCCATCCTACCTTTAGGACTTCTGACGCTCATGTCTAATCCAGGGAAACACTTTTTTTTCTTTCTTTCAACTTTATATTTAGGATTTGAATTGTGTAGCAAGACAATGGGTTACAATCACAGCAAGCGAATGCATTGCTTTGGGAATAATATCCTGGTGGAAGAATGCTAAGCAGGCATTGATTTTTTTAGCAAAAGCCACCAGCCTGAACTTTGAGGACTCTTCTGAATTAGCCTTCTCAGGACATGGACAAGCTCCTTCAATTCCAGCCAGCCCTTATGATTCATGTGCAAACTCTGTGCATCAAAGCAGTCCCGTCTGGATGTTCATCACCCAAGTCACGCTTTGTACATCCTGTTGAAATGCCCCATCAGGATGAAATCATCCCAAGCAAAGACATGATATTTCCAGTTTTCTGGCAAAGGTCTTGAAAAGTGCTGATGGTCTTTTAGTTTTCATTGGAAGAATGACAGAGAAGAGTAACGACCGATCCAGAGTTCAGGTCCCTTTAGACCTGGATGTTTCAGCTATAGCCCATTCATTGCTCCTCAAACATTAGGTGTAACTGTTAATGGTTCCTTTTCCTTCAAATGCATCCAAATAGGGTAGTTTCCTCAGATTCCTCTGTGCTCTAACCTTAAACAGGCATCTATGAACCCGTAAGTTTTCTCTTCATCTCGCCAAGCCGACAGTCCTGGAAGTATTGGCTTCATTTTGCCTGGAGTGATAGAGAGCAACATAACCCGGCATGGAAAGATTTGTTTGCTTGAGGTCTCTTTTCTAAATCTTAGAGGAAGGACATCCAGGTATGAATAACATTAAAAAGCAATATGCACTTAGGTTTCCTGACCTTAAAATCAAGCATCTTCTCTTGCAGGAAGCTATCTTTCTCTCTTTTTCTTCTATAGCACAGGACAAATACACTGTTCTCCCTAGGTGTGAAGGAACAATGGAAAATTAAATACCACAATATTCAAAAATTTGAATATGCCATCCTGATTTTAACTCCCCACTGCCACTGAGGTTGCATAGTGGCACACAAGATCCTGCTCGCCTTTCTAAATAGTCAAGGTATATAGATTTATCCTCCAGTCATAAACAAATGGACAAATATAATCCCAAGCGATCTTTAAAATTACTCAGCCGGTTGTATCAGGCATCCAATTTTCCAAGCTATTTATGCAGACTCTAGGTATAATTGAGCTTACATGGGTGTAAAGGCTTAAGGATGCCTGAAATAGGCTCATCCTCCAGAACGTATGAATTTTTGTTCTTTTAGGTCATGATTTATGGGGGGGGGGAATCAAAATGCTCTACTACCGACATATAGTCAAGCCAAAGAACCTGCCTGCTTATGAACCCCAAACCAGCTGCCATAAACAAAGACCATGCATAACTCGAGTTGATACGAAGGGCTGAGGCATGAACTTACCAAATAGAGAAGTTGTTTGTGAGGGTGGGCCATTCCCGAGTGCTGATGGTACAAACTCCCAGCTGAAAGAACAAGACTCACTTCATCTTTTTGGCTGCGGTTTATTTCTGGTTCTCTTCTTTCCTCTCTCTCCCTCCCTCCCCTCCCCTTCTCTCTGCACTCCACAGCAAGGCACATTCACTTTCTCTTTATATGATTCATTGTGTTGTTCCCCAACTTCAGCAACTCGGATTTCACTGTGAAGCTAGCTCCCTCTTCTGGTAAAAATGAGATAGGCATACCCAACAGGAACGGAATTATTCCCCATTATCATCATTACAGTCATCCCCATCATGCTGTTGTGTTCCTGGGAAGGGGAGGGAGAAGGGAAGAAGGGAAGGGAAAACAGAGTTATTGGGGTGTTAGAATATTTCCTTCTCACAGTAAATTGAAAGCTCTGGGACAGGAGACAGTAACAGAAGAGTGACTTTGGGAGTGTCTGGTCAGCATAGGCTCTGAGTGGCATCAGGCAGAACCTCCATCAGAGCAACTCTGTTTGAATTCTGACAAACTCCCAGAAATAATATATTTCACCCTTGAATTGGGAATTTTTTTGGGACTCATTCGCTTAAATACATTCGCTTAATAAATAGATCATCTGTTGCACGGCAGTTTGTTCTATTTTATCTTTAAACAGAATTCTACCTTTCGTCCAAGCCATATTGTAGCTACCTTCTGCTTTAAAAAAATGGTTTGCTAAATGACATCAGAGTTTGCTAAGAAATATAGATTGAAAGCCTGTTTTGCTCTTTACACTGAATTCAGAATTGCAATGAAACAATTCCCAGTCTCTAGTGGCCGGCATTGGAAAATACTACTATCATTGTGTGCTGGATAAGATCCAGGGTCAAAACAAACAAAAAAAATATATTAAAGAGGAATGAACTGCTTCTTGCCTGTGAGTAGGAGCTGTCTCAGAAAATAACAATCTTTTTTGGAAAACGTCCTTAGCCACTAGAAAATCTGCTATTCCAAGGCAACACTGTAACCTGTCAAAAGCCTTGGGCTTGGTTTCTGAGCTGTCCGTATGGTTGCCACTGAACTGTAAATTCTAATGTAAACAAAGGGGAACATTGTGAAGCATAAGACGTAGGTGATTAATTTAATTATATTTTGACCTGGCCCTCTCCATCCTTTTGGCATGCAGCCCAAGCACATTCCTGAGCATAGAATTGAAAATTGCTGTGCTTTTTTGCAGTAACCCTTATTTCCTTCCTTCCTTCCTTCCTTCCTTCCTTCCTTCCTTCCTTCCTTCTACCTTCCTTCCTTCCTTCCTTCCTTCCCTTAATAACCAGGTTACTAACTTATCAACTGTAGTGATTCACTTAACAACTATAGCAAGAAAGGTCACAAAATGGGGCAAAATTTACTTAACACATGTGTCACTTAACAACAAAAAATTTGGACTCAGTTGTGGTCATATGTCAAATACTACCTGTAGTCAATATTTGGCCTGAACGAAGTGCAGTTTGGAGCCAAAAAAAAGCAATACATTCATTATAGGGCGTGTCAAATTTTCCAACTTTCCATTTCCAAACATTAGGGGTGCTAAAAAGTTGTGACATGCCTTTGCCTGGGAGATTGTAGAGATATTTTGGTTACTTTAATATAATTTAGGTGTGCTTGGTAAGTACTGTATTTTTTGGACTATAAGAAATGTGGAAATGTCTGTGCGTCTTATAGAGCGAATGTTGCCAAAGCCCCACCCACCCGTCGGCTCCCACCCTTCAGTCTCTGCCTCCCAGCAATTTGCCTTCTTGCAGCAACAGCAAACAGCCTGGTCAGCTTCAGCACAAGCTGATTTAGCACAAGCAGCTGATTGGCGGTTGGATCAGCCTCCCGGAATACTGACAATCAGCTGTTCCAGGCTGCGGGGATTGCTGTTGCTGCTTATTGCTGCTTGTGCCCCATTTTTGGCCTCCGTGCACCCCATTTTTGGCCTCCGCATGTCCCGTTTTTGGCCTCTGCACATCCCGTGTTTGGCCTGTTCCAGGTGGCAATAGATGGCGGCAAAGACAATCCCCGCCGCCTGAAATAGCTGATCATCAGTATTCTAGTAGGCCAATCTAACCACCAATCAGTTGCTCGTGCTAAATCAGGATGTGCTGAAGCTGACCAGGCTGTTTGCTGTTTGCTGCAAGGAGGCAAATTGCTGGGAGGCAGAGGCAGATTTTTTTCCTGTTTTCCTCCCCAAAGGTTAGGTGCATCTTAAAGTCCGGAGCATCTTATAGTCCAAGCAATACGGTAATTACATAAATATCATAACTTTTCAATCTTTTGTTTGTTTCATTTTGTGCTCTGCCATGCTCATCATTTATTCATCACAAAGTATGTGCTCTTTAAGCATGGCAAAATAGCTATTGAAATATATGTCTGTGTTGGTGTAACAAGCGCCAGCAGAATTTATAACTAAAAACTTACAATAAGTCAGAAGAAATTATGAAGAGAGGTTGTCCTGCCAGAGGTTATTTTCTCCTTGGTGGTTCCTTGATTAGGATATTGTTTTCTGCTAGGATATTGTTTTGACAGTTTAATGGTATTGTTTTAGTATTGGTATTGTTTCCAGCAGAAAATATCCCAATCAAGGAACTTCCAAGGAGAAAACCACAACCCCACCAATATTGACAGGGCAAGCTACAGTATATAAACAGAGAATAAACCCCACACTGACTAACACTGATGATGTTACCTACTCAGATAACGAAACATCTGCAAGCAAACAAGCAAGCAGGCTCAGAGACCACCAACAACTCAATAGACTATGCCTCTACTTGGTTCATCGCAACCCAAGACCAACCGAGAAACATCAGAAAAATTTCTCCATAGAGTTTCAATCCCTGCACCATAGGCTCTATACTATCAATAAAACACTTTGTGCATTTCGTAGTCAGATAATAAGATTGAAGTTTTTAAAACCCCACTGTTATTATTTAAGGTATTTCAAAGTTAGCGGAATGTGCCAGGTTGATGGAACGCTGGGAATCATTTAGCCCCATCTCAAGATGGAACTCCTGAATGCATTCTTGCCCTCTTGAGGGGACTTAAATCCACTGCAAGGTTGCACAACTTTGTTGAGGTCCGGGGTGGGGGAGGCGGAGGACACTATGTTTCACCTCTGAGGAGTGATTTAAGAGTTAGTATCCCCAAAGTGACAAAAACTAAATTTGATTTAATATGATTTTCATTTAAATTAAGCTCAAATTCAATTCAGATAATGTGGTTAGTACAATTACCCATGAGTCACTTGTTTAATAATGTTACATTAAAAATTGCAAGCCTTTGGAGGGGGCGTATGCAATCCTGAAGCTTTAGCTTGTTCGTCTCTCTGTTTGTTCAAGGGTTGGTAATTTTCATTTAAACTGCCAAAGCCTCTTTGGCAGTAATAGAGGCTAAATGAAAAATGGTTGTATGAAAAGTAGACACAGGGTAAACTTTTCTCACTGCCATCTCATTAAGATCTAGAAGGCCAAACTACAGCTGATTCTGACAGAGGAAATATGTATGTTTCTGCTATACAAGAAGACACCACAGGAAAAACCAAAGCTTAATTTATTTTGACTGAGCTACTTTTATAAAGATCAAAACCAAACCTACCAGAAAATTATGAATAATCAAAACAAGTGCTTACATAAAGGCTTTAAAGATAGCATCATTGCTGAACAAGAAAATTTCATTATTAGATTTTCAAATATATAGCAACTAACATATCGCTTTTAAAAAAAACAAAACTTGTTTTGTAAATAAAAGAAGGGAGAAAGTGTCATCAAATTAAAAAATACTGCTTCCTGATCAAATCTCTGGCTGCATCCTTTCTTAAATCATCATAATGCTAATAATACTCTATATTGTGTTATTATTGTTTATTATTATGGTTTATTGCACAGTCATCCAGATGTTTAGACTGGATTTGGCATTTTTATTCACCTATTGGATCCTTCCCAAGAATCTGGGATAGGCAGATCTTGTTGTTTGATGGTATTAAAGGTATTTTTGCAGGATGTAAGCTGTGCGAAGTAAAGCTGTATTTTCAAATTGACTGATGGTGATATTGTCAATGCCAGTGGTGTTAAAGTAGAGCTTCAGATGTTTTCGGATTGCACCTAAGGCACCTATTAAAATTGGTACTATCTTTGCTTTCTTTTGCCACATTCATTCTTATTTGCAGGTCTTTGTATTTTGTGATCCCCCCCCCCGTTCTTTCTCTTCTGTTCTGCTACCTCCAGTTACTGCAATGTCCACCATCCAGACATTTTTGTCTTACAATTGTTAAATCTAGGGTGTTATGTGACAGGTGCTTGTCTGTTTGAATTCTGAAGTCCCAGAGCACTTTTACCGTCTTCATTTTCTATTACTTTGTCTATCTTGTGGTTACTAATTGCAGGTAAATAGTATTTCTTGCAGATATTCCAATGTCCCATTGTTGCTACTTTGTCATGTCATTGTTTGTAGTCAATCTGTGGAAACGTGCAGCAGCTAACTAGATGGTCAACTGTTTCTCCAGCTTCTTTGCAGAGGTGGCTCTTGCTGTCTGTTGCTGTCTTCTCAAGTCTGGTTTTGTATGCATTTGTTCTTAAGGCTTGGTCTTGTATAGCCAGAATTAGCCCTTCTGTGTCTTTCTTCAATTTTCCTGCTTTTAGTCATTGCCAGGTCTTTTTATTTATTTATTTATTTATCTGCCGCCCTTCTCCGGAGACTCAGGGCGGCTTACAATGCGTTAAGCAATAGCCTTCATACTTTTGTATATTTTATACAAAGTCAGTTTATTGCCCCCACAAACCGGATCCTCATTTTACCTACCTTAGAAAGGATGGAAGGCTGAGTCAACCTTGAGCCTGGTGAGATTTGAACTCGCAGTAATTGCAGGCAGCTGGAAGCTAAATACTACCTTTAACAGTAGCATTAGTCTGCTGCGCCACTCAGGCTCTTATCTGTTAACCTGCTTTTTTTTTAATACTTTGCCTTGCCATGTCCCTTTTCTGTTCTTTATTTGATATTTCATGTAGGCCATGGCCTCTTACATACTCAGTCAGCCTTCATGGTATACTAGCTTCAGTGCATCTTCTTCGTTAACCTTCAGATATTC